TAGGGTTTTCCATATAAATTAACATATCATCTGCAAATAAGGATAGTTTTACTTCTTCTTTCCCTATTTGGATTGCAGACATTATTTTAGTACTCATAACATTGTGTGCCAGTTATTTTGTCTATGTCTCACTTTCGGGGCTTTGAGTTTTTTATTTTAAGGCAAAACCTCGTGGAGGTGCTTATCAACCTAGCACAAGTGCTCATTAAACATTGAATCAAATTAAATTGTATAGCTATTACACATTATGGCTTCTAAAAATCAAACATTAAATAATAGTAATGAATAATTTATTTTTTCCCTAGGCTTTTGAATTTTAGTATAAACCTTGTTCCCCGTGGCATACGTCATCCTGTCTCCTCTGAAATTTTTCCTACTCTGTCCAAGAATAAGTATGGAACTGGAGCAGGTAGCATTCAAGCTGGCAGTGCTTTGCTAGCTAAAGGTGGTATCTGTTTTATAGGAGACTTGACGTCACACAAAAAAGATAAACTTGAACAGCTCCAATCAGGTAAATAAAAAATTTTTTAATTCATTTTCATCTATAGTCACATCAATGTAGTTATTTAACAGTTAAGATTGTACTACACATATTTTAAGAATTGAGAAATTACATTGACAATTCTCATATTACCTTTCTAAATAAAAAAAGAGGAATTTCATATATAAATGCATCATTTTAGCCGTTACTTTCAGATGTGCTCATACATGAGTTCTATTAGACCAGATTTCTTTCCTTTTCGTGATTTATTGTACTAGCTGGGCCTTAAAATGATACTGTAATACAGTGGTGAGAGGGGATATTCTTGATCTTAGCTCTAAAGCTTTGAGTTTCTCATCATTAAAAATAGTGAAGGTTATTTTGTGGATATTCTTTTTCAGGTTTAAAGCATTATTTCTAACCTATTAAAAATTTTTTTATCAATAGATGTTAGATTTCATCAAATATACCTATTAATATGATATGTGATTTTTCTTTGGTAGCCTGTTGTATTATAAATTGCAATAAGTGATTTTCAAATACTAAGTAGGCCTTGCATACCAACAATAAATCTCAGCTGGATGTGTAGAGTTTTCTTCATACATCATTGGACTCTATTTGCTAATTCTTTATTAAGTATGTTTGTATCTGTGTTCACAAGAGATTCTGACCTGTAGTTTTCTTGTAATGTCATTGTCTGGTCTGGTATTAGGACATGATGATTTAGGACCAGATTTAAAACTAACAAATACTTGGACAGATACATATTTGGCAAAGAGCAGCTAAAGCCTTGTATTTCAGGCATACCAACAAGAATATGCAGCAATATTTAAAAACAGCATATTACCTCTTCCTGAAACAGACTGCAGAAGTAGGCTCACACAGATGATTTTAGATTGTTATTGTGCAATATTAAGATAAATGATATAGTCTATGTCAATAATTTAAAAGTTTTAGTTTTAAAATGGCAAATGTTTCTGTTACATTTTTTTTGGGTGACAGTTTTATTGAAATATTATTTGTTAACTATACAATTCACACACTTCAAATTACACAGTTTAGTGAATTTTAGAATGTTCAGAGCTGTAATGCCTGACTTACAGGAATTATTTCTGTGTTCTAGGTATATGTCTTATGGGAGATATATGTAATACAATTATGTTCTTTTCCTTTGCTAGTCTATTTACTTTTTAGTGGGTCCTTTTAATGTGCATAAATTTTTGGATTTGATGAAATTGAATTTATAATTTGTGTGTGTGTGTGTTTATTGTTTTCTGGATTTTGCCTTAAAAAATTCTTTGCCTACCCTAAGGTCATGAAGGCTTTCTGCAACTCATCTTTAATTTATTGTATATAGTTGTGAGATATAGTTGTGACATTAATGCCTTTCCACATTCCACATTGTGACATTAATGCCTTTCTTCATACTGTGTTTCACAAATTATATAAGTGACTGTCACTAGAATGACAGCAGTTAACATTATTGATAACAAATGTTGCCAAGAATGTGAAGAAACTGGGGTTCTTATATAATGTTGACAGGACTAGAAAATGGAACAACCATTTTTCTTACTGCTCAGGCACTTTCTATGGAATTAGATATACATTTACCTTAGGAACCAAAAAGAAAGTAAACATGGACACAAAAGATTCTAATCATGTGTGAGGAGAAGACTAATCTAAAAAATATTTGGGAGATAAAATGCAAGAATAAGATTGATCTTAGACTGAATGATTATAGGGGATGAGGAAGAGCTGACATGAGAATAGGATGTTTCCACAGGTTTTAGTTTGGGTTTTCAGTGGGTAGACAGTGATGCCTCTAACTGAGGCATCACATTTCCCCCTTCAATATACCTCTTAGTATTTTCTTTTTTCACTGCCACATAGATGACCTGCTTTCTGTTATTTTTTTTCCTACATAATAGAATATTTCTTAATTTCAGCCTCACTTGTAAACTTGCACTGTCTGACCAGTCCCCTAAGTCTCTACCTATTTTACCCAGATGTTGACTACAGTTCTGCTATCTGTTTTATTCTGCTGATTTTCATTAAGTCATAGGACAGCTAACCATTCAACTGTTTCTCTCGCTTTGTTCTTTTTTAACAGATTTTCCAATTTAGTCATACACTAAAAAATAATCAAATGTACTTGTATCTTTACTATCAAAGGTTAGATGTAAAATCCTATGTACTACTTGTTATTAATTTGTAGATATGTAGGCCAAAAATGTTTTTAAATAACAAATGGGTGTTATCTTCTGACTTAGTTGTGGAAACGAGAAGTATCACAGTATACATCCCAGGAAAGAAGTTTGGGGATGATATAGATCAACAAGTGACTTTTCCAGTTCAGTGCAGTTTTTGGTCTTTTGTTGATATGGATTCATCTTCAAGGAGAAATACACAGAAAGCCAGTACTTTAATAGGTCAGATGGTAAGCTATGTGTATATTTTATTGTTAGACTGTTCCTCAAGAATTTTAGTCACAGATTTTAATGTAATGTTTTCATTATTCTTAATTTTTTGTTATTTACCAATTTCTGTACTTAATCAGCAGCTAAAAGTAAATAATGATACAGTTGTTTATGAGTTTTTTCATGTTTATTAGTCACATAAAACAGACTGCTCACTAGAAATTATTACTTGAATAGGCTAGTTGGGAAGGTTTTAGTATGTAAGAGAATACTCAAAGAGAATTTTTAAAAAACTGTCACCACAAATTCCCATGCTATTCAAGAATTGCTTTAAGTAATTCATAATAGTAAATACCATAATATAATAAAATTATGTAATAACTATATTAAGAATTTAAATAATGTTATAAGTATTATTTAACTTATAATTATTTCCAAAATGTTTGTGAAATGCCAGCGTTTAATGTTTGCCTTTTGCCTTCTATTTTGATGTAGGATTGTAGTTTGATTCCAGCCAATCTTGTAGAAGCATTTGGGTTATTGATTAACTGCAATGAATCATCTCCTTGCTACTCACTTCTTCCAACTGTGCAGCATACTTTAAAAAAAGCTGTTGATCCTGAAGGGCTACTTTACATAGCTTCTAAACAGTTTACAAGTGAAGATTTTGAAAAGGTAAAGGTAGATAAAATAATTACCAAGAATACTTAAGCTAATATTTCTCAGTTAAAGTAGAATTTTCTTTGAACACTGGATTTTCTTCATTTAGAATTTTTTTTTTGGTTTGTTTGTTTCCAGCTTTTAAACATTCAAAGGATAGTGTATAGAAAATATTTAGGATTATAATGAAGTAAACTAAAACTGAGCGTAGATATAAATGTTAAAGTGCTGAGTGTATTCTTTGTAACAGCTTTCAAATACCGTAACTCAAAAAAAATCTGAATATTAAAAAAACCCAAAACAATCTTATAGAAAAACTTGTGATAGGCTGTTTTATATGAATGCCTTCAAAGTTTTCATTTTAGGGAATATCTACATGACTCACTAACGTATTTGATTGGCCTGACATGAAAACTTGGCATTTTCAGAGAACCTGGCAATAGATGATTTAAATTCAACAATAGTTCTTATTAAGGATATTCAAGTACTTACAAGTGAAGCTCTTTTAATATTAACTCTTCAGGAATCTGTCCACTGTAGAGTTAAAGGTATCTGAGGAGGATAGATAAAAGGCAGAGGATATCGGGAAGTGGGAATTCATGAATCATTATTTTCCATACCTGCCTTCCTTATAGACATATTGCTTGGGTAAAAGGGTGAAAATGAGTTTGATTTAAAATGAAATACAAGCTTTTTTTATTCACATAGGTTAGACTAGAAAAAGAACAATATTTATAATACAGTAAGGTTTGTTTCTAATTGACATTAGAAACAAGATATGCGAAACAAGGGAAAATTTACATACCAACCTGGGTGATGCTGATTATAAGTATATCAAGAATTCAGAGGGCAAATAACAAGTAGGATGTAAGAGCTGGAAGACTTCATAGAGAAAATGAAATTTTAGTAGGGCTCCAAAGAAATTAAAATTAGGTGACAGAAAGACAAAGCATTCTAGATAAATATGGTACTAGGATCAAAAACAGAAAAACAGAAGTGAGTATACTATATGGAAAACTATGAGAAGTCCTTCCTGACTGGAGGAAAAATTTTACTATGGATCCACTGGTATTAGGATTTGACAAATTTATAATAAGCCTTGAAACTCGGGCATGATTTATAGTTGATTCATCAGAATGCAGAGAATAGCTGTATACTTAACTTTGCTAGGCTAGTGGAAAATGATTTCTCCAGAATATTAAAGTCTGTGCATCACACAAAACAGAAGATAAATCTGTGCACTATACAAAACTGATTAGATGAGTATGTTGCCATCTGAGTTTTCCAAAAGGCAGACTGAAATGGAGTTTATTGTGCCAGTGTTTATCAAGGAATACTGTTTTATCAAAACGAGTGGAAGGAGAAAGGAAGCACTGTTGGTCATAGCAAGAAGTTAAGCTGTGATGCAGACCCAAAAATAGCCTCTAAGGCCTCATAGTGAGTTCCAGAGCTACAGAAGATCCCCCACAGTTGTCCTGCTTTGGATAGAAAAAACAGGGGAAATGTATAAATCCTTCTGCCCCATACTTCCACTTCAGTCTTTTGATGAGGGCTGTCCTAAGGCATTCTCTGAAGAAGAGAACTGGAGGCCACTATTGAGGACATTTCCAGTATTTGGGCAATAGTCTGCTTCTAAAGAAGTATTTAAGAAGAACATGAGTATGCCTTCACAGGATAAAACTTAAGAGAGGGCCACTAAAGCTATTGGTAGTCAGAGTTCTGAGGCCTGAAGAGAGAAATGGAATATTAGATGAATAAAAACCGACAGGATATATCCAGATTCTTAAAAAAAAAAGTTTTATTTAATATATAAACATTGCAGTTAAAAACAACTTTACAGTGTTTACTTTTTTCCTTTTTAGTTCTTTGAGTTGAAAAAGAAAAAGTAGAATGTTGAAATGTCTGGAAATTATATCATACAGTAAGGCTTTAAGGAACCGGGAGTCACTAAGAAAGAAATCAGTAAACCTCACAGAAAACAATGATAAACATTATGTTAAAGAATTGTTCTCTACCAAAACTCTTACTGAATCTCCAAGGACCATCTTCATAGTAGTTATCATAGTGCTTCCTATCTTGTGATCAGTTGTGTTCTCTAAAGGAAGGGAGGGAAGTAAGGAGGCAAGTAGCTCTAGGATCAAGAAGAGAAAGTTCTAAGCAAATAAACTGTCAAAGAATAAAGAGTATTCAAAGAGAAAATGGACTCTTATAAAAAGCTTCTCTCTCACTGAATTGATTTGAGTTTTTATCCCACTGGAAGCAAGGACTTTAGTCATTCAAATAAATATTACTATGATACAGAACATTTCTGTACTAAGAGGAAAGAAGAGATTTTTTTGGGTAAACTTGAATTTTCTTAGAAGTATAAGTTTCTGAGTTAAGTGTTCAGTGCCTTTGAGATGGCTCCAAATATCTAATCACTTTTGATGTAAATGAAATATGCTAACTTTTAAATATAATGTACTTTGAATTTTTGTTATATAGATTTGATAATAATGTTCAAGTCTCAAAATTTTCATTCTTAATATAGCTGCTGGCTTTTGCAAAGAATTTGAATGTAGAATTCAGCATGGAGGCAGAGAGAATGATTCATGGCTATTACCTAGCGAGTCGCAGAATCAGAACAGATTCTGTATGTGGATCAAAACTGACAGCATCTGCATTAAAATATTTGTAGGTATTCAATGCAAATATTAAAATTCAGTATTGACTTAAGTGATGTGTTTGGTTAACTTACTTATTTCTCTGATTCACTTGTTTGTATGTTTGAATCCTAGATGGTTAATTTATATTTTTTTCCAAAATAATTTAAGGTAACTTAATTCCTTTGTTATATTGTTACACAATTTTAACTTCTAATAATTAACAAAAACTCATTTTTATTGGACCTCTTGTGTGAGATATGCCTGAGAATTGTGCATTGATTGTTAAAGCAAATTATTATTATTTTTTTTTAAGGATTTATTTATTTATGCATACAGAACTGGGGTACAGGTCAGAGATGCGGAGGGTGAGAGGATTCACCAGAGACAGAGTGGGGAGCAGAACAGGCAGATCGACGAAGTGCTGAGGGGAGCAGCGGGCGGGTCAGGAGAGGTCTGCCACGCCATGTGGTCACCTCCGGGGCAGGCGGGAGTTGAACTCATGCGGAAGCGGCTTTAGATTCTCAGTGCTGTGCTTTAACCCGCTGCGCCACCAGGGAGGGCCAAATTATTATTTTTTTTAAATGGGGCTATTTACACATTCCAGGTATTTTGTAGCTGAAACTAGAAAACATTCTTTAAGTTCATTGTTCCCATAATTTGAAATTCTTTAATAAACTCACCTATTTCTGATCCTTAAAATCTTGGCCTCCCTGATGGCGCAAGGGGTAAAGCCCTATGAATCTATCTGCAGCCACTGCAGCACAGAGTTTGTCCCCCCTCCCTCCTCCAGGGAGCTAACCCACATAGTGTGGCAGACCTCTCCTGACCCACCCACTGCTCCCCTCAGCAGTGTGTTCCCTTTATCTGCTCCCCACTCTGTCTCTAGTGAAGTCTCTCACCACCCTGCACCTCTGGCCTGTACCCCAGTTCTGTATGCATAAATAAATAAATCTTTAAAAAATAAATAAAAATTAAAAAATTTAAATAAGCTTTATTATAAAAATGAAATATGGACATAGGAAGAGAGTCTAAAGTACCCTGCTATCTTGAGCCAATTTCTAACCCACTTCCTAGCAATAATCACTATTAACAATTTTGTTTGTATTCTCCTAGACATACTATCTTATATAAATATGTAATTTGTATATAATGCATGCTAAATACATGCTTATTTAATTTTGACAGTTTTAAATAGTTATTTATTAAATATATTACACACATAAGCATACATATTCATATGGATACTTTTTCCCAATTGGAATTGTAAGTGGTGTATATATCATAGTGTCAGCAATGAAAGAATTACCTAATTCTGTTTTTAATGGCTGCATCACAATTTTACTGTGTTGTGATGTTTCTGTTCTATTATTTAAATAGTCCCGTATTGACAGAACATTATCTCATTTGATATAGGTTAATGTATAACTCAAGCAAATTATGAAATAGGATCAGGATTAAAGTAATCCATTATGTAAATAAGTATCTTGTTATAATTGCAATATAAAGTAAGACAAATAGAGGACTGGCAGGCAGGAAATATCAAATATAGGTCTAAACAAGATTCCAATTGTACATTTATCTTCACAGGGTTAAAAAAAATGCTGTAGATAAACCAAAGAGAAATCAATTGTGATGTCTTAGAATGATAAGCAAAATAGTATAATGCTTTCCATTTACTGAAGTCATTTTTAAAATATTCATATCAACATTTAAATACTTAATACTCAAAGTTTAAAAACATCAATGTATCTGTTTTCTCATACTCCTTTTTCTCTGTAATAGGTATTTTTATTTTAATTCATATGGCTTAGAATTGTGAGTATATTGACCTGAAAATAAGACAGAGTATATTTTAATATGATAACTCTAGTATTTCATTGGAAAAAACAAATGCCATGAGAAGAGATGAGGTTTATGAATTAGCCAAGTAAATAAACCGCTACTTGGGAGTCAAACCTTGCATTTTCCCACCTACTTCTATACATCGATGACTAACAATACCACCTTTGCTTTTCTAGAGAAGTGGAGTGAATAATAAGCTCTTTTCCTGAAAGGCTATATATACATTGTCTACCTTGGGCAACATTTTTTGAAGGAGCTTGGACAAGGACTTCAGGAAAATTGTAATAAAAATGTAAATAAATAACACTGGAGAAGTCTTCATAGATCTAAATAATGATCTTAGTCTAACAGGAAGAAAATTAGTAGAATAAATGTAGTAGGATAATGTCCTCAATTAGGTTTCAACCTTCCTAGTGCAAGGGTGAATGAATGAAAAAATGATGTGCCTAATATGAAAGACTTTTTAAGATTTTATTCATTAATGTTTAATATGCACAAGCAATATAATCTGGCTGTTAATAATACTGTGATTTGGGATTGTATTAATATAGTATTAGAGTAATAATATAATGGTTCTGCCTCACCTGTACTCTGCTAGTCAAAGTACCTTTAACTATATTGAAAAAGAGTTTTAACCAAATTTGGCATAAAGTTAACTAGGAGGATAGTGAGGGAGTTTGAAAGCTAGCTCTTGTGATATACTAAAGGACCAAGAATATCTTGAAGAAAAAAGAAAACATGGGATAACTATGAAAGTTGCTTTTGAATATTGGAAGAGCTGTCACAAAATTTAGAAGTAGTAAGTAGGTTTGTTCTGCAGTCTCTGAATACAGAACCAGGGACCAGTGGGTGGAAATTACAATGAAACCACTTTCAACTTTTATATAATCTTATGGGTGAGACACAAAGCTTTCAAATGCCTTATTTGAAATCACAGAAACCCTATGAATTATTATTATCCCCATTGTGTAGCTGTGCTTCACAAAAATTTCAGACTTAAGTGACTGATACAAAGTCACCCAGCTTGTGGATTGTAGAAACTTTGCCTATCTTTTTGTTCCCCAAGTCTAGCAATCATTCAAGTATGTCACATATACCTAATAAGAGGTTTTCAGGTAGTCAGTGGTAATTTAAAAATCAAAGAATGGATTGCCTCATGAGTCCCAAAAGATGGAATAATAAGTAGCCTGGAGATACAGTGTAGAGAAAATTCAATTATCTGATGGAAGTTTGAATTTTGAACTCTAAAATCTCTTCTAACACTTTCAAGATTCTATGAGGACTTCAAAGCCATGAAGAATTTGGAAGAAAACACCAAGGGTATGTCTGTAAGAGAGATTTAGTTAGGTTAATTTTTCCAAGAGTGTATTTATCTGAACAGAACTCAGGTAGAAGAGGTGTGGAATAATAGAGATAAACCAGGGTGGAAAACAAATCCTTAAATAATAAGTCAGGATACTTGTTTTTATCTGTAATACTCTAATGAAGTTATGAGGAAAATAAATTAGATTTTGGAGAATAATGTACATATGTTGATAGGACTGCAGTTTACAAATTTCCTTTTTATTGTTGCTTCCAGATAAAACCATTTGTTGATGAAAAAAAGTGATTTAAAATATGTCTTTGAGCCTGCCAATATATATATTAGCTTTAATATATATTTTAATTGGTATCAATTTTATTTTTTAGAGTTTCCCTATCTGAAGCTCATGCTCGACTGAACTTAAGAAATAAAGTGCTTAAAGAAGATGTACTAATTGCAGCCTTATTATTTGAAATATCTCTCACACTGAAATATGGTAATCTATTAAGTCATTAATAATCACTACAATTAGTTATATTAAAACAAATGTCCTGTCTGTCAAAATGTTACATATATTTTAACATTATTTTAGAGAATAATAAATTTCTATCAGGTAAGTTTTGTTTGAATTTGAAGATTTAGTAATTATTTATAGGTAGTATCATTATCTGGTATTAAGTTGTTATTGTACATAATTGTTTCTATAATTGAATTTTTGCATTACTTAAATTCAGGGCGGAAATGTACTAATACATGAAATGATTTAAATTTACCTTCTTTTTGAAATCATATGCAACATTTAATTGTCTAGTAATCATCCACCAGTTAGGCATGTAAACAAAATGTGATTGTATTTTATCACGGCATTTTCTGCAAAGCAGAGTACTTTAGGAATCTTTTATAGGGCAGGTGTGTGCAGTTGTTCTCCATGTTCCTTGATTTTGGAGCTTCCTGTGGTATTGGAGACTGTTGTTTTATCCAGACCAGCATGGTCTCTGGATTCCCTGCCTCCTTATCCATTCTGGTTGTACTACCCATTCCATTCTAGCATTGAGAACCTTGCTTTCTGCCAATGTCAGTGGACAAGTTCCCTAGTGAGGACAGACTCCAGTAGTTGGTTGGTTCAACTCCTCTCATCTCCTTTTGTGGGTTCCAGTCGGCCTTGGGTCCCTAGTCACAGCTCTGATGTTTTCCTCCCCAGTTGGAAAAAGAGGAAGCCCTCACTCAACTTGCATCTCTGGATAAGGGTTTTGGTTCCACAGCACCTATAGATATTTTAAGTGGCTCTCATGAGATAGGTCAACACATCAGTTCGTCTCATGCTCCTTTCCTTGTGGATCTGAGTGCTGTTTGGGTCGGCCCCAGGCAATAACTATGTCAAAGATTTTGTCTTTTTCTCATGCAGCGAGGGTACGTACCTATATTACGGATGTCTTACACCAATCTGAAGTGGGTGTCAGAATGGAGGGGCACATTTACAAACTCCCTAAATGTAACTTCAAACATAGCCAGAAAATAATCCCTATATTCACATACAGTTTCTTGAATACAGACAGAAAACAATACAATCTTGAGATGTGAGTGTGGGTGTTGAAGAATAAAGGAAAATGGCCAGGTTTCTTTCTGGTGCTGCTTCTGAGTCATATAATTCTGGCATTGAGAACCTTGCTCCTCCTATAAATGAGTGTATAATGCTGCCATTTACCAAGATTTGGAAGAAAGTCTTGAATACAAGATCAAGTTATAGGGCCTCCCTACCAGCACAGGGGTTAAAGTCAGCACTATCAACCAATCACTAGCTACTGTGCAGCATGAGTTCAAACCCAGGCCAGGGAGGTGAACCACATTGTGCAACAGACCTCTCCTGTCTCACCTGATGCTCTTCTCAGATTTGCCTTTTATATTCCCCACTGTCTCTGGTAAACCTTCTTGCAACCCTTCCCCACCCCTACCTCAGCCTACAACCCAGTTCTTATAATGCATAAATAAAAATAAATCTTTAAAAAATCATTATAGATGTTAAATGAGACATGCTACCAGAGATAACAGATGTTAAGAACCTGGACAGTTTTTTAGTCTAGTCATAATTTAGGAATCACTAAAATTTCCTAATGTTGAGTATTTGACTATTTCTTCTTTGGAGAAATATCTATTTAGATCCTTTGTTCATCCTTTAGATCTGGCTTTCTTGTAGACCTCCATCAGATATGATTTGCAAGTATTTCCTCCCAACCAATGGGTTGTCTTTCCACTGCTCATAATCTTATCTTTTGCCGCAGTCTTAAATTTTGTTGAGGACTAATTTCTTCCTGTTGCATGTGCTTTGTATCTTATATTCAAGGAACCATTGCCAAATCCAATGTCATGTCATGAAGCATGTTTTTAGTTCTTTTGCTTAGGCCTCAAACCCAGTTTTCTAAATAAGGGACCAGCTTCATTCTTTTGCATGTAGTCTTCGCAGTATCATACTTTATACTATCCTTTCCTATTGAATTACCTTAGCACCCTTGCTTATGAGAATTTCCAGTCCCTATCTCCTGTTTCTTAGAAAAATGTATTACCTATTCTTGCACCCAGTTAACTTATCATTGCTTTCCCCCATCTGATGTAGCTTCAAAATTGTAATGACTGCTTATGTAGATGACAATACTTCAAAATCAAATTTGAGCATTAACACTTCTATTATTGACCTAACAGCAGTTAGCTCATTTACTGAATGCTTCCCAATTTTCAAAAAGTCACCTAAATGCTTGTTATTAAATGTTAGGATTTAATGAAATTTCATTATTGAAAATGGAACCGCAGTATTATTTTAAGCATTCCTTTATACTTTCTTCTTAGGGGTTGCTGTGTTTTGCGTTGCACCAAATGCACTATTTCCATTTGAACTGCATAATGAAGAATATTTAGAGCAAAGGGACATTTACCTGACTCAATGCCAACAACAGCTTCAACAGTTCATTGACACATATGGACCTGGGACAGCTGTTTTTACTAGTGATCAATAGGCAAATTTCCTTTCCTAAGCAGGAAAACTTGGTCTTAAGTAATGCTTCAGGTAACAGTACCTTACAGAAGTACAATGGAATGCCACTTTAAAAAATGTTGCAGGGTAAGCAATGGAAAGTTCACGTAGTTGTCAGACAGTAACCTCTAATTTAAGAACTCATGCTTTACTAGACTGGTATTTAATCTAGTTTGGGAATCCCTTATTAAGTCTGAAATAGCTTTTAAACTGTCCTTTTATATAAGTATAAAAAGAAAACTTTGTACTGTAGGACTAAATACAGGAAAACATTTAAGATATAATTATGTATTTAATTCAAGCCCTGAATAGCCAATTATTACTAGATTTTGTCCAAAGAAAATTCGCAAATGAGTGAAGATTTAAATTTTAAACAAAATATGTAGGTTATTAATGAAATTTAACTAGTAATAATTTAATTCAGTTGTTCAGCATTAAATTTAGAATCACTACCCACACAAATAGTAAATTCTATTTCTAAAGCATATTAAAAAATGTGTAATGGCTAAATATGGGAATGTTTAAAAAACTAAAATATTTTTAAAAAGGATTATTACCCAGCAATTAAAAGTATTCAAACATGTTTTTCTATATAATTTATTGTGATATCAATAAAACAAATTTTGGTCATTTGCTTCATGTCTTCTTGATTAATTCCTCTTCATTTCCTTCCAAAATGTCGAATGCCATACTCCTGAGCGATTAGAAATCAGAAACCAACAATGAGAATCATTTCACACTCAAAATCAAAACTAACACTGAAAAAGGAAATAATACTCCTGAAATTAGAAAATGGTACCAGCCCTTTGAATTTATCAAAAACTGTGTTATCAAGGCATAGCATACTTACTTGAAGTAATGGAGGATTTTTGAACCCCACAGCTGAAGATTAAAACTTTAATTGGCAAGCAATTACCTGTATGCAGAAAAGACCATTTCATCCATTTTAATAAGAATTGCACTGTATGAGTAGTTTACATAACCATTAAATTACTGGCATCTCAGTGTTAAAATTTTCTTCAAAGAAACCCTCAGCTGGGTAAACGGCAAAAGGTAATTGAGTCATCATTGTGCCAGTTGTTTAATAACTTATCATGCCGGAAACATTAAACATTAACCCACTCTTAAGGAACAATACTATAACAAAATTAATTTTCTTTGGTACCTCATTACATGCAGTTGCAGTTGTTTCCCCAGTTTTTCAGTTATCCTCATTAACGAACTGTTAGAAAAAATTTATTACAATCTTCTATCTTCAAAACTCATCTCTGTTGCACCTGTAAATTAAAATATTTCATTTGTGATTTCTATTTATAATTCCACCTGTGTTACATCATATAATATAGAAGTGGTTCAAATTTTCTTTTCCATTCTTATCCAGAACCATAATTATAATCAAATTTGAGAACACTGAATCCTAGTCAAGTTTTTAATATAAGATTTCAGTATTTTGAAAAACAAATACTCAAAATATTCTGATGAAAATAAAGAATGTACTTCAAGCTTAACCCTACTTTTCTGGTATTTAAAATCGATTAAACCTAAATTTTTAAAAAAGATCTATTTATTTATGCTTATAGAACTGGGGTAGAGGTCAGAGTTTTGGTGGGTGAGATGATTCACCAGAGAGAGAGGGAAGCAGAACAAGCAGATGTACTAGAATACACTGCTGAAGGGAGCAGTGGGCTGGTCAGGAGAGGTCCGCCTCACCAAGTGGGTGAGCTCCCTGGTGGGGGATTGAACTGTTGCAGCAGCTTCAGAGAGCATCATAATGTGGTGCTTTAACTCATTGTGCCACCAGGGAGAGCCCTAAATCTAAAATTTTAACCATGTTATTATTAGTCCTTTTGGCTGATTAGGACTTAATCCCATAACCCAAGATGGCAATGTATTAATTAGCATGGGCAGGAAAAATTGATAGAGATGTTTGCTTTGGTGATACCGATTTAAGACATGATGGCCCTAATGAGTACCAGTCACTGCTTTTCTGCTTCAGATTTAACAAGGATGATATACAAGTCCGATTAAAAATTAGCTATATAGAAATAATTATGCAGACCTCCAGCTAATAAGCATTGCAACGGCAAACTTGAAATCTAGCTTTAGAGTAGGTACATTTGGCCAGGGTCACAGAAATTCCACAGGACCCCCAATATGATAAATCAATAAACCAGACAGTTCTTGCAAATAATTTATGAAGAGGTATCAAACGTTAAATTGAAAAAGCTCTTGTATGTTGCTTCAGAACTTACGCGCATTACTAACTTCTTTGACAAATACCCCAACACAATGAAATAGGATTCAAACAACTTAGCCTTAAAAATGAGTATGACTAATATTACCAACTAACATTTTCCCCGTTGTCAATTAATTCGTTTTGATAATTAATAGTTGCATTTACAGCTTAAGAAACTTCTCTATCGTCCATATTGTTTTCCAATTTCAAGGCCTCGTCTTATTTATAGACAAAGAGACCCTGGAAGTGCCAAGTAGGTCTGCCGTGGGAGAGCCGATTAAACCATGCCGCTTATTTAAAAGCCAATCACCAATTACTTAGGATAATAAGCCGCTCATTTAAGGGACCTTGAAACCATTGAGGACGCAGGTTCTACTGGGGATTGTGAATGAGTTCCGGCGACCGCCCAGCTTGCCGGCGCTCCCGCGCGACTTAAGCGTCGGACTCAAAGTCCAAACCGGCGATTACTAAAGGTAAGGGCCGGCTGGTGGTTGCTCACAAAATCCTATTTAACAGAGGTTGGGGCAAGCTTGCGGTCACTTGGGGCGCGGGAACGGGAAGGCGCCGGTGAGGCCGACCGCTCGCTCAGAGGCCACGGGGACGGAGGTCCCGGGGTCGACGGCGGAGAGCTTCGCGGTGGGCAAGGACCTGGCTTGGGGTCGGGTTCCGGCAGTGAAGGAAGCACGGGGACTCTCACCTCCGAAGGTTCGGCGATCGGGCCTCCGGCGCCGCCGCCCTCGCCGCATGGCCAACGGTGCCCGGTAAGCCTCACTCCTTCAGCGGCGGGGCTGGAAAGGAAAGCTCTTGGCCGCCGGCGGCTCTTAGGCGTTCGGTCACGGCCCCGCCCCTTCCGGGTTCTGGTCCCGCCCCCTGCGGGCTGTGTGCTCCGGAGCCCGCGGGGTTTAGTGCCAGTGGAGCCGCGTGGTTTAGCTTGTCAACATTGGGCTTAACCGGTTTGTAAAAAATTCAAGCAAGCAGAAAGTACTCTTAAAAAAAAAAAAAAAA